TTACCAGTGCAAGAAACAAAAGGGCACGCATATCAGTTTGGAATGGTACAGTGTAATACTAAAAATAACAGTATTGTAATCCCAAAAATTGTCTGAGAAAATGGAGTGAGCCGTTCCTGATTTAATCAATAAAATAAGTTGACTCATTCTTTAATTTTTTGAGCCACCTGTTTAAGCAAAACTAAAAAAAAAAAATAATACAATGATAAATCACAAGCAAAACTCATCATATTTTGCACATTTTGAGTAGAATTTATTCGGCAAAGTTTGAGATGACGTCATCAATTTTTTGAGGAGAATAAACATATATGTTTTGATTAACAATTTACCAGGCTTACAATTATTTTAATACGTTTGCAAGATTTCAAAGTATTGATTTATTCAACAAAATAATTTGACTGGTTCATTAAATTTTTTGAGCCACCTGTACAAGCAAATCGAAAAAATTTGAATGCAATGACAAATTACAAGTATAGATTGATCATATTTTGCAATTATTTCAAAACGTCTACAAGATTTAAAAGTATTCAGTTTTGCAATTCTTGATTTAATCAATAACATAAATTGACTCAGTTTTTTCAAAAAATCTGGACGTTTCGGGCAAAAACTCAATATGGAATCATAAACTACATGTGTAGGACTATGTTATTTCATGCAATTTAAAACCCATTTACTATATACAATTTTGAAGTGACGTCATCACATTGGTGGTGGGGATAATTAGCAGTGGGTGGAAGTAATTCATTACTGTAATTCAATTTCTTTGCAAGTAATGAGTAATTAGCCAAATACACTGACGTCATCCGAGGTCATCAAGATGGCAGCGTTTGACAACTAGCCGGTTTTCTCATAAGAGTCAATGCTAATATTTTCGGAATTCATTTAAATTTGAGAGTGTGTCAACTGTGTTTTTATAGTTTGGTAATTTTGTTACAGTTTCTAGATTGTGTAGATATCTGTAAAACGCACCATAACGTTTGAATATGCTTAAAAAATAATGTTTTCCAATGTGATGTACAGGTTAACTTCGCTGCATCTTATATTATTTGTTTTGCAAATTAAATCTTTGTTAATGTACAACAATGTTTTTTAAATATACTAGCATCTTAATATTATAATATTTTGTATTTTAGGAGAAAATGCCTAAATTTTATACTGTTATGGGTTGCGCGAATCGAAGCACCAGAAATGCGGACAAATTTTATTTTCCTTTCCCAGCAATTAGCAACAATAGGGGTAAATATATACAGGATGGGGAAAAAAAGGCGGAAGCTTTGGTTAAAAGCCTTGAAACGGGTGGATTTAACGAAGCCAAAGTAAAGTATTCCTATGATAATGAAATTTAGGATATCAAAATAAATCCACTCATAATACTTGTAATGTTGAAAGACACAGTCGTTTAAAAAAGAGAAAACTGAATAAATGCCTGTAGAGTTTTGAATGCACGAATTTCATTGTGGGTTATTTTACTTATTCCAAAAATAAAAAAGTTTAGAATGGCATTCATTGTTAAGGCCTCGCCACATAGGCTGTGCTATGCTATGCTCATATTAAAACGTTATGTCTATGCTATGTAAAAAATACATTCACATAGCATGAACATGACATACAGTCACAGATGGTGTTCACAACAGCCATGCCATAGAATAGTAGCAATTGGTAGCATAGCATAGTAGATGTGTGTTTATAAATAGTTATTAGCAAAAGCAGTGGTGAGTAAAAGTGGTCGTTCATTTTGAAACTTGTTGGTGTAGCTGACAATCTTAAATAAAAAAATTCACGAAGAGAACCTGATCGAATTACTTAAACTTTATTATTATTATGTGCAATATGCAGTGCAATATAGAAATACAACTTATAAAAGAAGAAAATTGAGAAGGCTTAGGTTAGAATTTTGAATTTTCTCTAGACGCGCATGAGCCAACAACCAAACATTACACAGAAGTAGGATTCCATTCTACTTTCATGCTATGTCGGATTATTTCTAGCTGTGTAATGTCTATGCTAGTTCTGTGTAAAAAGTACATAAAGCATAACATAATGGCTATGTGAACACTCTCATTTAAATGTATTGTGTCTACTTCTATGTTTTTCATTAACATAGCATAGCACAGCCTATGTGGCGAGGCCTTTATGGTAGAGAAATCGTCTAAATACAAATTAAAATCACTTGCACTCATTGTATAAGGATCTACGCCGTTTAAATTGTTTAACTTTTGTACATATCTGTTTTTCTCTTTGACAGAAAGACATCGTGCATAATCACTTAAATTCTCCATACTTTAAAAACAAATCACACACCTTCACTTAAACCCGTCACAATAACCTCAAACGAAAATATTAATTTCGATTTACCGCTTAAAACACACGGATGTATTTTGGGTGACAAGGAATGCAGACCAAAACAGCGTTCTGTATTTTTATTTTTATTATGTTTTTTTTTAACTCAAATCGCCAAAAAAAGCACCCAGATACACAGAAAAGATATGAAAGAAGCTATTCACGTGTTTATTTTCTAGATAAATTCCCACACTTTTAAATAAAATGCGAAAATGTTAGCATTGTCACTTATGGAGTTTCACGGCGCTTGTCAAACGCTGAGTTCCCGCCACAGCGTGACGTCACGTGTTATTGGCTAATTGTAACGAATTACTTTTTTTGAGTAATTCAGTCACTTTTATAATTACTTTTTGTAATGACTTAACACAAATATAGTGTTTGCCATTTCTATTGAAACACCACTTGTTAAGGGGACTCGCTAGACGAGGTACAACATTTTTTTGGTTTTCTTTATGAAAAAATGATATTAATATAGATGTATCATACAGCAAACTGCAGCTTTTTTCATATTCTAGACCACAGAGACCAGTTCAATAAATTAAAAAAATATGGCTGAGAAATATCGTAAAAAAAGCACCATTGTATGTTTTCTTTTCACGTTTTTTGAGTCATAACGATCATAGAACCGCTTGAAAATTCTCACGTTGACAAAGCATCACTTTTTACAGACCGCAGAGTCATTAAATGTTTGTTAGTGGTACAATTTATTTAAATAATAATGTATTTATTAAAATCAAAATATACCACAAATTAATGCAAACTACGTCAAATAATTTTAACAGGAATATCAGAGAAAAATTAATGATATATTGCTTGGCAGAGTTTTTAATAAAAACTAACAATTATTGAAAAAAATGGGTTTTACTTGGAAAGTCGCTTCCGTAAATTGTAGTGGCGCTCCTATCGGCAAAGTCCTGAACTAACGGTTCAAATTTTGTCGAATTGATACCCATTTTTTTCAATAATTGTTAGTTTTTGTTAAAGTTTATTTATTGTAATCAACCGAGTCCGTTATTTGCGTTTCGGCCGTGTGTCGTTCAATACTTTTCGTAATCCCATATGTATCCCATGTAAATTAAATTTTTATTTTGGGTTCCGAAAAAAAATCAAATTCTAAAAAATAACATGCCATATTTTGGCCCATGGATCAGTTTATAAACAAAATATAGTTTTTCAAAAAACTTCATGAAAAAATGCTTATTATGATAAAAGGTTAACAGCTGTCGGCTGATATACACCTTAATAGCTGGCGACCATTATGGATGCCTTTTCATTTGTCATTTAAGTTCCATAAAACTGAAATAACATGGGATTACGAAAAATTATTAATATAGTCCTTTTGCGTGAAGTATTTATTTGTTTTATTTTATTTACTGATGTGAATATGTAACAAATTGTAAAATAAATCACTCACTGCCTTTTTCATTCTATCACATTGTAATAATTGAAAAATATTTAAGAAATTATCAGGAAGTCGGTGGATGTATTTTTGATTTCCGCAGTAACAAAGCAAAATTGGTAGAAAGATATTTCGACAGGACTTCCCTCGCCCCTAAAGTGCAGTTCAACAAATCCCGCTTCTTTGGAAAATAAAAAAAAAATGATTTTGCGAATTTGTATTCGTGATAACCTGTATACATTAAAATACATGTAGATAAGTATTACCAGTAACCGCCTACGAAGGTAAATGACATCATATAAATTCGTTTTGATACCCTTTTTATTTTGTTTCTATACCACATATCACTTATTTTTTAATGAGACACTACACATTTTTTAGAGATCTTGTGGAGCTTGTTTTCTTGAATTCATCATCATATTCATCATATCATACTTTACCATCTACAGGACATTCATAATCATAACTAGACAGCGAATTTCTGTCGGACTTGGCAAGAACAAACCGGTACGGCTCGTGCGGGATGGGAATTCAGAGCAGTTACTGGCTGCACTTCGTTTATTTTAGAATAGAATAACGGTGCTTCGTTGTAATTTGCTGTTAATTCCCGTTCTCATTTACCTAGCTGTTTTACGAATTAAGTTTTCGTTAATTGTATGGAATAAGTGAAGATTAAATGCACTGATTATCACCCGCTACTGATTCGCAGCGATTCACGCGTCCCCACCTATAATCGTGACGTAGCCCAACAGAAATCCGCTCTCTAATCATAACACACATAAAAATTTGACAACAATCGGTCGAGCAGTTTTGGAGATTACCTATCTAATAAAAATCGACACAGACGACGAACAGACAGATGGAAACAGAAAACTTATATTTTCGTACTCTGGGGGTCATAATACATCGAGAAAATTTGAAAGTAGCCCAATGGTTTTGTTTGTAATACTTCCTTCGCTTAGGCTTGGGAAGTAAAAACACACATGCATTCCCAGATACATAAATTTGCCAATTTCATATTAAAAACGCGTGTGGTCAAAACAAATCAAATGTCTTATTAGGTATAACATCATTAACAGAACATCTTATACTTGATGTTTCTCTTGTTGAAAACTTAAATCTGATCAGAAGCAAATATTTTTTACGTCACCATCAGCATGCGTTGTGAGTATGACCCATCCTCACCGAAACATATCCATACCTTACAAATTGGATCTTTAACGGTAAAAATTGTACTAGACCCAATTATTGTTTCGGTTACCTTTGAAGTCAACTTCACCATTGCCATCAGCATCAAAGATGTCTATGACGCGCTGAACCAAAGGATTTTGCTGAAGTTCTGGCAACGACATAAATTCATCAATGCTGAGTGCTCCAGAATTGTCAAGATCTAGCTTCCGAAATCTTTTTCCGAGGCGTCGTATTTCATCAGCATCGACTAAAAAACATTGAATCGTGTAGAGCCTGGTTGTCACAAAAATGAAACTTACAATTTGAGCAAAGCTCCATGGGCAGCGAACTTTCATTACCCTGAAAAATAATAGTCATTAGAATAAATCATTTCTGCCAGTTTAAGAAATAAAAATGGGCTTGCCCCTGAAAGTAGGCTATCATAATACACACAATTTTACATCGTACTAACGTTCAAGTTGTATTTTAAAAAATGCTTTGCGGTGTGTTTGGACTTTGTACGTACCATGGTTGGCTGAGTATATACACTTTAATGGTGATTAATTCTACAACTCTTCGAAATGTTTGTAAAACCGAGCACTAAGTGAAGAAATTACTACAGAACCAGCACAGGTGGCGCTGTGATTAAATTGAAAAACAATCGAACGACATAACATTGAAAATCCCCGCGAAAATAAAAAATGTTTCAGCCGGAGTGTTTAACAGAAAAAAAACTTCAAACACCTTGCATGTGCAGGACCTTCATAACAAAAATTTTTTGTTTTTTGTGTGTTATTATTATTTTAAATTGTATGCAATTAAAACTTCAAACATACCTATGTGTACATGATGTGTACCGTACCATGATCAATTCTAAAGGTAATTTTGTCCGGATCTGTTTACTTGTTCCAATTATAAGAATAATAATTTTTATTATTTGTGTGTATTATTAGTAACAACGTCTCTAATAAATTAATAATGCGTAAGTATACCGTCGTTTCCAAAAAATTTCGGGCAAATGATAGTGACATACTCCCATTGCTTTTTACTGATCTGTGAGAACCTGATTTGCTCATCTTGCCCGAAATTTTTTGGAAACGACTCGACTGTACGAGCAAGTTCTAATGGCTGTTATTCACAGGGATGATGGTCTAAATAATCCGAGTAAATATAATAATGATATTATCAATATCAATTTGGTCTTAGTACCCGTAATGATAGAAGTCTTGCCTGAATGCCGGTCATTTCCGGGTCAGTGGTGGGTTAATAAATAAGCTTTATCTAGGACCATTTATTAAATAATTTTAAATAATGGTTGAAGATTACTTCGACAGAACCTTTCTTGCCCATAAAGAACAGTCAGAAAAATATGGCTGCGAAATCTAACTTTGAGAATTTTTTTTTATGATGGCCCCTATAATTAGTGTTGTTAGGAAAAATTACGAAAATATCCGGTTAAATATCTAGCTGCTAAGATTATTATTTTTGAAAATAGCCGACTATTTAACCCATGAACTAAAATTAATATGTACCTACTTATATGTATTTATGTATTGATTGTTAAAGTATAGGTACAGAAGCATCATATGCACAAAGTCATTTAATAGATATACAGAATCGCTAGAATGTATGGCAACGTTTAAATATCTTGAGAACCAATTGTACAAATCAACTAAAATTAGGTATTATTATTACTAGGGATACAAGAAGTTGTCCTCTTGTTATTCGTCAAAAAAAAATTTTTTTGCTTCATTTCTTTTCGAAATGCGAGGCCAACTTGATTTTTTTTAAATGGCACTACCACATAATTAATGCATTTTTGAATACAGCTTTTTTTCTGAATTCATTGATATAGCACAAGCATACTTTCTCTCTGAATGAAATGGCCCTATACCTAATTTTAGATGATTTGTACAATTGGTTCTCAAAATATTTAGCCGTTTTCATACATTCTAGCGGCCCTGTGTGTGTAGATATTTCTCTATTAACTAACCTTGCGTATCGAATAGCTGTAGTGTAATATACTATTCATAACAGTACTGCATCCCCAAATTTTCGGGAAAATGGAATGAGCAATAAAATTGTCGCCTCATTCATTAATTTTTTTGAGTCACCTTGCATAAGCACTTATAAAAAATACGAATGCACTGCTGATAAACCACAAGTATATACACTTCTAATCCTGTGCATACTTCAAATTTATTCGGTAAAATTTTGAGATGACGTCATCAACTTTTTTTTGGGAGGGATAAACAGATAAATTTTTTTAACAATTTGTTTTGTTTGCCAAATTTCAGAGCATTCGGTTATACAGTTTCAAAGTTAAATTCCAAAATGTTGTTACACATTTTTTTATTTTGTAAAATCTGCAGGTGTAGAGTAAAAAAGCAAGACGAATTCATAAACCACACTTCTAGGAGAATGTTATTTTATAAAATTTATACAGGGTGATTCACGAGAAATAATGAGCCTGAAAAAATGTTTCAGCCAACAATACTTTGCAGAATAGATTCAAAATTCTATGTTTAATAAGTATATAAACATAGCAGCCATAAAGTTTGTCAGTTCTGACATTAACATTATAAAAAGTCAAATAAGTAAAATTCTAATGGAAAAGATGCTTTAATAAAGAACAGAACATAAAAACGTAACAAATCAGTTAAGAAGATGTTCAAAATGCTGTCCACTAGTGGATTTGTACCAGGACTTCTAGGGGGCCAAGGATTAATTAAACCCCTACCTATCCATTTATTTGCAAAAACTGAGTGAAGCCACATGTTTCATGTTTTGTCGTCTTTGTAAATCTACCTCAACTAACAACATTGACAGAATGTTTCTCAGAAAATTTAAATACACTTGACGATTTCATCTTTCGCGAAAAAAGTATGGTGCTATAATTTTGTTTCTCATTATTCCACACCAAGCATTTGTAGAATAAATTTTTTGAAAGTGTCCTTCGCGAATTCAGCGGGGGTTATTCTGGGCATAAGTAGTGACTATGTTTGTTTACACCCCCATTGTTGGTAAAAGATGCCTCATCACTGAAAAGCACATTTTCGAAAAAATGTGATCTAAAATGGTTTGTTCTCGAATAAATCAACAAAAATTAAGTCTTTTATTAGGGTAGTCTGTCTCTTTAAACTCTTGGACCAAGGTGATATGATAAGAATGGAACTTATTTTACTTGACAATTCTGCAAATAGAACACTGGCTAATACCTACCCTTCTTGCCAATTCGCGTTGTCCCACATGGGGTTCCTCCTCAAGAATTTGAATGACTTCTAGTGCATGTTCCTCACCGGTAGCTACCCTTTGCTTTGATAATTTATCAGGAGGCCCGTTAGTTTCCACTTGATTCTCCAGTCTTTTGTCAGAAGCCGCTCTTCTCTCGGGGTATCGCTAAACATAAAGACATGCACACTAAAATCATATTTGTCTTCTCATTATTTGAATAAGTATACATTTTGCACAAATTGTAATAAATTTGTAGTTTGTCAAAAAATGACAATGACAATGATTCATGACCATCGTGGATTCAGACTATAATGACTTTCAATTCAAAAGAAATATAGCCAAGTAAGCTGTGAAAAAGTAATGTTGGTTGCATCAAAAATTTTTTCAGACTCTTGAATGGCCCTGTATAACATTAAATTTATTCGGTAAAATTGTAATACCTCCATGCAATATTTTTTTTATCGTTCACTTACATGTTAAACTCTCTTAACATGCATGTTGGGGATGAATGTTAAGCCACTCTTAACATTCATCTTGAATGTTAAGAAAAACCCATAGTAACACCATAAATTTCGTCATAAAATGTCAGACAATTTTTTAAAATTTTAACTATTTATTGAAAATACTCATATTAAAACTACAATTCTTAAATCGAAGAAAGATTCGAATCATCATTATTGGAAGAAACAATATTACACGGATCATTGGATACATGAGTGCTACATTTAGCATCCTCCCTATTTCTAATCTAATTTTCTTGACAATTTGAATTTTATTTTCGATTGAATCTTCAATGGACTTTTGTGCCACAGATGTGGAATGGCAACCCCCATGCCTTTTCATCATTGTCATATTTGCGCCAGCATTTGCTAACGAAGTGGCCGAAGACCTCCTGAAACAGTGCCCAGTAAACTGCTTGAAAGCAACAGATCTTTAGTTCTTTTAGACCAGGGCCGATAATTTTTGGAACTAAAAAAATATAGAACAGGATGAAATCCATTGGAAAAGAAAAAGAATATAACAAAAATAAAAGGAAAAATAATTTACGGGCGATCTGAGGTCGGGCAGTGGAAGGGGGTGAGCTTTTAAGGGTAAAAAACGGTTTATCACAATTTCCGGCAAAACTACAGGTCCTATGGAAAAAAGTCAAATAGCAAAGTTGTAGGTAATAAAAAAATCTACAACTTTTGTATTTACACTTTTTTCACATAATCTCAAAATTTATGCCAAAATCCAAATAACCGAATTTTGTAGTTTTTTATTTTTATCTCCCCCCAAAAAATTTTTTTTTCGCGAAATTTGGTGAAAACTTACCTATTTGTGTCCCAAACTCACTGTAATTTTTTTTATTCAAACTATTTATTTTTACCTCTTATTTTGATTTAATATAGAAAAAGCAACCTAATTTTCAATCGAAAATTCTCATGTCAAAATATCTGCTTTTTTTAAAAATCGGTGTGGTTTTTGTTCGTTGAAATCTTTACTTTCTGATGGTGTAAAAAAATATACATTACTATGGCCTATGGCAAATTTTCACAGGAAATAAAAGAAAAACGAAAAAACTCGAATTCAAAAATTTGTTTTCATGTAAAATTTTGAGCTAGGTATTTATTAAAATTTACACTTTTACTTGTTATTTATAAATACTTTATCTTAAATTCTAATCACTTATCTATTAGTTTTTGTCTCTTTGATGGCATTTTTTTCATCGTTACATTCGACAAATCTTTCCGATTCTAGTAGATCTTCGAAATCTTCAAGACCATCATCGTCTTCGTCTTCAATATTTATTCCAGTCTGCATTAGTTCTTCATCCACAATTTCATCTGAATTAACTTCCTAGTAGGTTTTTTTCTTCAACATTGGAGCATTTTTAAGAACCATGATAATTTGAGCATAAATTTGTGCATTTTAATCCATATTTTCGGCAGCCACATTTTTTTATTATTATTATGATTATTATTATTAGTTACTATGCTCCACAGGTCGAAACCCAATTACGGAACATACGTACCTACAATATTCTTTCAGTGTGAAATTTTAAAAATCTTACCCCACAACGGAGCACAGAATAAAGAATAGAAATATAAATATAGTACTACAAATAAGAACATCATTCTATAACGGTATACAATTCAATATATAAAGCAAAAAATATTTACAGCTATATAAATATTAAATTCAAATCTTTTTATGCTTCTTAGGTTACAGTTGAACACATCTATCGACAAATGAAATTCGTTGACTGTGTTGCAAATATTATGCAGTGGGGAAAACTTCAAAATATTTGCCCTTGGAATTTTCAAATGTATCAAGTGTGGATGTCTGACGTTAACTCTTGAACAGTAAAAATTGATCATTTCAAGTAGGGTTACGTCATCAATTACGTTGCTGATAAGTTTCACAAAGAATATAACATATGTTAGTTTGATCCTTGCAGAAAGACTCTTGGTGGAAAAATTCGAGAGAAGTTGTTCTTGAGAGTATCCCCTTGTGGATACACACCGTAAGTTCTGACATGAAGAAATTTAAAAAAACGCCGTTGAACATGTTCCAAGTCATGCAAGTAGCACTTGTAATGAGGAAACCTAACTGTCGCAGCATATTCGAGTTTGCTTCTTACTAAAGAGGTAAACAAAAGTTTTATTAATTCAGCATTCCGTATTGCATTAGAATTTCTTATTATATAACCTAGTCTTTTAATTGCATCTGTAGTGATCATCTTAACATGCGGTCTGCAAAAGATAGCTTAGTATCAAAAATTACTCCCAGATCTTTCACACACGACTCCCTTATTAATACATGATTACCCAATTTATAAGAATAATTAAAGATTTGACTAGATAACTTAAATGACAATAAATAACACTTCTCGTAGTTGAAACTAAGAAGGTTATCATTACACCATGAATATAAAATATATAAATCACGCTGTAATTCCAAGCAGTTCTCTAGATTTGTTATACGCCTATATATTTTTAGGTCATCTGCATATAATAGCGTATGTGAATGAAGACCATTTCCAATGGTATTAATAAAAATAGTGAACAGGAACGGACCAACAACGGATCCTTGCGGTACCCCTGAAGTAACTTCAAAATTGGACGAACAAAATCTACAACATTCGACAAAAGAAGATCTGCGAGGTAGGTAGCTCCAAAAAAATGCACATAATTCTACTGAAAAACCAAACAAGCAAGTTTCCGAATTAAAGTAGTATGGCCTAGTCGATCAAACGCTTTGGAAAAATCAGCATAGATAACGTCAGTTTGAATACCATTATCTAAATTATTGGCTAGATGTTGCGTAATAGTCAACAAGTTCGTAATTGTGGACCGTCCTCGAACAAATCCATGTTGATTTCGAACTATAAGATTTTTACACTGATAATAATAAATCGTCAACAAAAATCATCTCAAAAACTTTGGCGAAGTTATTCAGAATGGAAATTGGTCGATAATTCTCAACAGCTGCACGATCACCACCTTTGAATAAGGGAACGATCTTGAATGTCTTCCATTTATCGGGGAACTTACAAGAAACTAGGACTAAATTAAAAAGAAATGTTAACGGTTTGGCAAATATGGCGGCACAATCTTTTTTAATTTATCGAACACTAGATTCTCAGGAATAGAAATTATTGAAAGATGTAGACAGTGTGGCATCGGGGAATTCATTATTGCCTGACACTAAAAATACAGAGCTGAAATATTTAGCAAAAGAATTAACTATATCGTCACCACTATCAATCAACTCATCTTGGAATGTCATATTAGACGGAATACCCAAACTTTTCTTTTTTAAATTAACGAATCTCAAAATATTTTAAGATCGTCAGCGTATAAAGCATGATCAGACTTTAAAAGACGGCTTAGGTCCGATATGTACAATACCAATAGAACAGGGCCGAGAACGGATGCCTGTGGCACACCAGATATGACGGGATAGATATTAGAAAAGGATTTTCCAACTTTGACAACCAAATGTCGATCTGATAGAAACGCGGATATCCATTTTTAAATATAAGCTCTAATCCCCAGTTGGTCTAATTTATGTATAATTCTTTGATGAGGGATATGAAAGATGATTTAATTCTTGCCAATTGATATGTTCGAAATCTGAATTGATTCAGTGTTATATTATCATTTTTACATTTATAAATAGAATTGATTAATTGTAATCCATTTTTTGCGATACCTTCTTTGTTTGTATCTTTTTTATAAAAAATATTGGCCAAATTTGATAAATTTTTATTGTCTAATAATGAATTTAGGCCCAGATCCTCCTAGCCTCTTCCCCACTTCTCTATGAAATACCTTCTGATGGGCTAAAATTTTCTGTAGGCCATTCAGGTATACAAGTTATCTTAAAATAGCAATACATAGGCACCTACGCATATAATTTAAAAATTATCCTACAACTTTCTCAAAATATTGTAGACGTCTTATAATTCTAAAGTATTAAGTTTATTAACTTATTTGGTTGTTAATTAATAGTTAATGTTAATTATAGCAGTATATTTCGATTTGCAATTTTTTAGTTTATCAATGTAACATGGAATTTTACGTTTTTCGAGTAATTAAAGTGTAAATTTTAATAAATAGCTCAAAATTTTACATAATTAAAAAACAAATTTTCAATTCGAGTGTTTTCGTTTTTTGTTGCATTTCCTGTGAAAATTTGCCATAGTAATGTATATTTTTTACACCATCAGAAAGTAGAGATTTCAACGAACAAAAGGCACACCGATTTTTTTTTAAAAGCAGATATTTTGACGTGAAAATCAGGGTGCTTTTTCGATATTAAATCAAAATAAGGGAAAAAATAAATATTTTGAATAAAAAAAATTATAGTGAGTTTGGGACATAAATAGGTAAGTTTTCACCAAATTTCGTGAATTTTTTTTTTGTGGGAGAAAAATAAAAAACCCAAAACTCGGTTATTTGAATTTTCCACATAGATTTTGAGGTTATGTAAAAAAGTGCAAATACAAAAGTTGTAGATCTTTTTATTACCTACAACTTTGCTACTTAACTTTTTTCGATAGGACTTGTAGTTTTGCCGAAAATCGTGATAAACCGTTTTCTACCCTTAAAAGTTCACCCCCTTCCACTTTCCGACTTCAGATCGCCCGTAAATTATTTTTCCTTTTATTTTTGTTATATTTTCTTCCTTTTCCAATGGGTATCAACCTGTTTTATTCTTTGTTCACTTTTTACCATTTTTAAAGGCTTCGACTCTAGCCTATTTACAGAGGAAAAACGATGAAAAGCTCCTGAGCAGAAAAGTTTTGAAATTATAATAAAAGTACCTTTTTATTTTATTAAAAATTGTTTTTTAAATACATTATTCAGTTATAAGTGTTTATCACGGATTTTTTATATATATTTATTTATCCAAAATCGTGGCGGAATTTCGAATGTCAATTCAATATAGGTAACCTCGAATCCTTAAAATCACTTGGGTTAACCTGGGTCATTGGTTAACCAAAGTTAACAGTTCTTGTATGTCACTAAACTTGAAATATTACTCGGTAGATGTCGCTAGTTGACTACCAAATTTTAAACGTCAAAAGGAACATTTTTATGAATGGAAAAATGAAAATTCGGACGGCTGTGTAGGAGCGTAAGCGTAGACAAATGCAGGTGGCCATGGTATTTCTTATAGACATAGCTGACACTTTCGTTACTGGTATTTACTGTGTCTGCGGTCCCTCCACGTCATAGACTGTTCTGTGTCATATTACTCATATTATGCACTTCCACGCACGCCACACTCACACTGCGCTGTCAAATTATAACATGTCAATGGAGATTGTGACAACCAAGGAGATTTAAATATATAAAGAGAGTACAGTGCTCATTGTTTTGTATCACACTCTCTTCTGTTCGTATGGTGTTCGTATACATTCGTTGAGCGAGTCAGTGGCGGAACTAGATTTTACTGGTGTCTATTCGATTTAATACATTTGTCATTGTTCTAGATTTTAGTGGATGTTTGCAAAAACCAAATACGCGAACATGTGGGAAGAAGAGGAAGTGTATTAACCACACATTTTGTTTAAAAACCAATATTTTTTGTTTTTTTTTTTAAATTGTATGAAAGTGAAACTCGTCAGCCACTGTACTGCGGTACACTAAACCTCTCGCGCCTCACTCCTCTCATCTAAGAGATGTTGATAGTGTGGAAGGTATAGGGGTATAGGACATACTCTATCTATACTTATATTCAATATCTTTGGTGACAACTTACCTTTTAGTTTTAAAAAATGGCGGTCGAATTCAATGTAAGTGATAGCAACAATTGGAAAATGTTATTTCCGCTATTAATGAGCGCCTTTATGTCTACGTTAGCGTACACAGTAACTTTACGATTAATTCCTAAAGTGAAAGATATGTTTATTAGAGCCAATCTTTTTGGAATTGACATGAGTAAAAATACAAGTGAAAAAGTGTAGGTTATGTTAATTCATCGATTTAAAAAAATATATTTATACCAATTTACTTTTACAGGCCTGAATCGTTAGGTGTTGTTACAGGATGTACGTTCTTAATAACAATGTTTCTGTTCATTCCTGTACCTTTTGGCAGTAGTTTGTTTGATGAAGATAGCTTCCCTCATGATGAGGTAATTTAAAACATGTATTATCTTTAAGATATTTGTAATTTGTTATTACAGTTTGTTGAGTTAATAGCGGCGTTATTGTCAATCTGCTGTATGCTCTTTCTGGGTTTTGCTGATGACGTTTTGGATCTCCGTTGGCGCCACAAATTACTTTTGCCAACAATTGCTTCCCTACCATTGCTGATGGTTTACTACGTGAATTTTAACTCTACTGTCATCATAGTTCCTAAACCGTTGAGGGATATATTTGGTTTTTCTGTGAAAGTGGGAATATTCTACTACATTTATATGGGAATGTTAGCAGTTTTTTGCACCAATGCTATTAATATATTAGCGGGAATAAACGGATTGGAAGTTGGCCAAAGTGTTATTATTGCAATTTCCATTGCAATATTCAATGTAGTTGAACTTTCTGGAAACTTGTGGAAAGCTCATCAATTCAGCCTCTATTTTATGCTGCCATATATTGGAACAACATTAGCACTTTTAAAACATAATTGGTAAGTTAAAGTATTTTATATTTATAAGTGTCTTATTACATGGTAAAAAGTTATCACTAATTAATACACCATGGGCAAATGTAATCTACAAGTTATCACAGCTTAATATTAGGAGGACTCGCAAATTTAATGTGTAATATTTCTGTGTTAGGCAGGAGTAATGCTGTAAAATATTTGTGAAAACTAAAGGCAAGCGTTCTTCTTCAGTCTTCAGTTTCATTGTGTTTTATAGTATTTCATCCATCATAATAATCAATTTTTGAATACATATTTGTGAGCAGAAAATCATAATTCCAATTATTTTCAGTTACATAATATGGTGCAAAGTAGTTGTCACGGTAGCGGTGAGTACGAAGAAGTACAGTTTTTCCATCAATATAGAGTCCGTTTTCTATTATATCTTCCAAAAAATTCGCATCAATCTTTTTCCCACTGATCTTCTCTAAGTTAATTGAATTTTGAGATTCACTAGTTAAAAATTCAAGTATTTGAGTAACGTCGTAGCAATATTCACAGTACCATCCACCATAATGGTTGAGATCTCCAAAAATAATGCCTTTATGAAGAGAATTTGATACTTTGTTATTAATGAGAGATTCAATTCTACCATTAAGAGTTCCTTTTAAGTATGAAACTGAACAAGCACTTCCAGAAATAATAGTTCTGTCAGGATGCATCCAAAAAAATCCAAAAACAGACCATCGCAACCGAAAAAGTACTGGATCTGGCCAATTGTTGTAGTATTTTAAATAACTAACTGCAAATTTGTTGGGAATTTCATTTCTATTGCTATTTAAAATTATATCATCATCCCTTACATTTTTTATGAAGTGCAAGGCATTCTTAATGTCATTCAATTTGAGGTACAGAATTTTTTTATGATAATTCTTCATAAAATTATTGCTCAATTTATGTTGCAAATAATCAGATTTATCATCTTCGTACAAAATAAATAAATCCACTATATTTCCTAGTTCGTTGATTCTAATTTCAGCAGTCATCTCATTGAATTTATCTACGGAAAAAACATAAATAATTCTTCTTTCAAATGTTCTTGGCCCTGTAATCTTGATTGGTTTTCGATAAGTTAGTAGCGCCCTCCAAATAACCTCAGGTTGTCCGCAATCCTTTCCGTGCCATCCAAGTAGACAGTTACACTGCCAGTTAAAATTTTTTGAACGTTTCATTGAAACTAGATCCGTACCATTCATGTAACATAAACTTGAATTAAAATCCATGAACTTTGTATGTGTGTTAATATTCTTCAAAAATATTTTACCATCTGATGTATGATATGTAACTTTTGGTAAATCCTCTTCATGAGAGTTCACAAAAGAAATTTTCTTAGTTTCAGAGACATCACTATCAACTTTTAAATAAAAGTATGATGTTATTAATAACACTTGTGTAAACAATAATATCCATATGGATAATTTCTTATAATTTTTATTTATTTTATTCATTTAAGAGTTGAAGTACATAACCTCGCTTAATGAATTTTTTCGAAGCACTCACAGAAACAGCTTTACGGTGCAGTAGCGGAAATGCGTTAATTTTAATTTTAAATCGCATAATTGGTTCATTGACTGTCGAGTTACTCGATCTTAAATTCTTTAAATAAATTGGACCTCCGCCCAATTTAAATTCTGACAGTAGTGTACTATAAAGACAGAATGTCAAATTTCTGTGATCCGCCAGTGTCGCCATCATGAATTCGGATAAATTCCTGTAAAACTTTCAAGAGGTACAGTGAGGGAATTTAAATTTGGGACACTAAATTTAATTCTTATAAAATAAATAAATAGACTATCTAATAAAATAAATAGGCTGTATCTGAGGTTTTGAACTTGTATAAGTAACACTGTTATGAAGTTAACCTAAATTTTTACTATTTTGAAGTGTGGCTAAATTCACGTATGTAGTGGCTTACAATCACGGCTGTATAATTTACAAATCTGATTTTAGCGCAAATGACGTTTTTTTGTCATTAAGCTTTGTTTGAGACTTTTTTGAGCCTTTTTTCACTACATTTTCGGTAAGTGACCTGAAAAGATTCGAAATCAAAACGGCAAAGCAAGATATCCAGACGTTGATGGTAAAATTGTAGTGCACAAGCAACCGTAATTATTGATTTCTAATTGTTTTACTATTGGTCGATTGGTTATTACCATCGTTTTCATTGATTGTACAATTATTAGCGAATCAACGAAGACGACGGTTATTATTATTATATTAATGTTTGATATGTTAGTAGGCAATGCATTTTGTTTATAATTTGGTACAAAACTATTGAAAGATTGTTAAATTCAATTTGAAATTTGAAGTTTAATGTCAGAGTCACGTCTTTCTATTATTATGGTTGTTTTTCGTGTTTTTTGAATAATTGATTACCACTTCTTTTCAAAACTCATTTGTGTCATTTTACTTCCCGAGTGTAAGCGAAGGAAGTATTGTAATCGGGTCCCTCAACCGACTCTATACTTTTTCATTTTCTCGACCTTTCATGACCCCTAGAGTACGGAGAAATAGGTCTTCCGTTTCCGTCTGTCTGTCTTTTTATTAGACAGATAATCTCCGCAAGTACTGGGTCGATTGTTGTCAAATTTTGTATTTATATTAGGAATGTCATGTAGATAGTAAAACACTAACCAAAACTTGTCTAATCATCCCCACCAATAATGTGATGATGTCAATTCAAAATTGTACATAGTAAATGGTAGAGACCCTAGATATAGTTTGGAAAAAAGTTGTGACACGGACATTTTCTGTCCCTATCTTTATTACATGACGGTCAGTTATGAAATAGCTATAGTGATTACTGTCTTTATCTAATTTAGTAATTTGGTTTCAAAAATTTCAAAAGAAATTTATAGGTTAAGTTACATTTTCAAACAGTGGCGTGGTGCTCCAAATAGTTTCTTTGAAATTTTGTTGACAGTACCTTGTATTTAAGAAGAAGTGTTATGCGGTTAAGTACTTCTTACAAGTTGCAACCGGCATCGCTGGTAAAACAGAATAATACGGAATACCTAATCATACTGATTTACACTTTATGAGATTATATCACAATTTGCAGTTAAGTTTAAACACCATTCTGTACCTAAGTACTGTCGTTGGTCCCAGCTAAGATTTGGAGAGTGTATCGCATTGTCAGTATCTAATCGTTTTGCTTCTGGTCAAAACAACATTTTGTAATTTAACGAACGGCACCGTGGTAAGAAATTTGAAGCATGTTTAGTAGGTTCTCTATCTACTACTCTATAATAAACAGTGCTTTTACAATGTCCTCACATTTCCATAATGAATATTTGCTCTGATATGTAGATAGAATAATCTCAGTAGAAATATGCATATGCCTCTATATTAAATAAAATTAACACTAATTACAAGTTAAAATTTGTTACTTCTTTTAATTAAAATAACAATGAAAAAATTACAAAAACAAGCAGGGTCAATCAAATTTCTGTAACTCGAAATATTTAAGAAATGTTCCACAAACAATTAATTAAATGGCCGAAAAATACATGAGGTTGGATTGAACATTTTTATATAAATGTGGGGCGTCAGCAGCAAAATAAACATTCCTACTTTCGTCATTTGGGTTTACTATTGAATTTTTTAATTGCCCTTTTGTACTTTTGATTCTAATGGGGATAACCGCAATTACGAAACACGTAACAGAGATCGTTTATTACCAGAGAAACACTCTACTGCATTGTATCAGAAAAGTTTGCATTATAATGCCTGTAAGTTCTTTAATGCATTGCCTCAGGTAATTAAGGATGTAAAAAATGTGCACACCTATAAGAGAAATGTAAAGCAATTACTCTTTGAAAAAAACTGCTACTGTTTATCTGACTACTTTTTGTAATGTGTGTAACTATACGTAAATCGTCTTTCTTTTTTTCGTTATTCTGTATTGTATTGTTTTGACACATATTAACATATATATCTGTTGTATATGTTTTTTATTAAATTTATTATTATTATAATTTCTTTTACAATTCTAGATAATGCGTCTCCGTGTGTGGAATTCCCAGTAAAATTATAACATATGATTTGCTTCCATCGTAACCTTACACCTCCTAACATAAAAAACAAAACATGGGTAGCGACTTCATTTAAAATTGTTAATGTTGTTTTCCAAAAGTAATGAGGAACCTGGACAGTATTCTTTACCTGGATTGATTGCTGCTTCGCCTAAAAGTAAACAATAATCTCCTTCCTAATCATTAAAATTTTGATTGTTAAATAGGTGAAAATTTCATGTAAAATTCCGTGTAAAAACAGTATGTTCTGAATTTTACGGCATAGGGTTCTACGTGAAGGTAACGGAATTATATTTAGAAGATATAGTTATGTCCTGACATTCCACAGACAAATTTTGTCTTAAAGGATTCTTCTATTGTTTTATTGTTCCACCGTTTTAGTTGTTTACGTTTAACGCTTAAATTTTGAATTTGGTTTTAGTTGAAAATCCCTTTTATAGTTCTGTTTATTCCCCTCAAAAAATTGATGACGTCGTCCCAAAATTTTACCGAATATATTCTACCCAAAATGTGCAAAATATGATGAGTTTTCACTTTTGATCCATCATTGCATATTTTTTATTATTGAATGAATCAGTAATTAATTATTGTTACCTACCATTGTGTTCATATAGGCAAGCATTAGTGTTTCATGGACCACCTTGTAGCTTTTCCCGGCCATCAAGTTGGAAAATTGTTCGTATTCTTTACAATACGCTTCTTTAGATTCTTCGGGAATTCATCTCTGCTCAGCTTGTTCGGCTAACATTCTAATTTCGAATGAAATATCCTTGATATTTCAAAAGTCGAAAAAACTTCACAAATTCAGTAATTTATAATAAATATAAATAGCAACGAAACAACAATTGCTAACCATTTTTATAACAACGACTCATTACACAGATTAATTCGAAAAAGAGATTCAATTTATGTTTTTGTTATAATTTTGAGATTGTGGTCTATTTATAATAAAAAATACACTCGCCGGTAAAAGGCACTCGTCTTCGCCTCGTACTTTTAAACCCGTCGCGCGTGTTTAAAAGGCTTGCTTATACGCTTGTATTATAATGTACTGTTATATACTTGTTTTTGGCACTTGTCACAACTTTTTGGCACCAATCGACTCATGTATATCTTTTTTTTTTTTCAGGTATCCTTCCAAAGTCTTTGTTGGTGATACGTTTTGCTATTTTTCAGGGATGACTTTTGCAGTAGTTGGAATTTTAGGACATTTTAGTAAAACGACCTTGTTATTTTTTATACCACAAGTGTTTAATTTTTTATACTCCTTTCCACAGCTATTTAATTTTATACCATGCCCCAGACACAGATTACCAAAGTTTAATTCTAAAACTGACAAGTTAGAAATAAGTACCACAAAATTTCGTTATTCCGATTTGAATATTATAGGTAAATTTATTATAAGTTTATTCAAAATGTTTAAGTTAATACAGTGGCAAGAAAAAGAAGATTATGTCATTACTAACAATCTAACTCTAATTAATTTAGTTTTGTACTATTTAGGTCCTCTTCATGAAGCTAGTTTAACAGTTATATTATTATGCATCCAAGTTTTTTGTAGTGTACTAGCTTTTATTATTAGGTATCCATTAGCGTGGATCTTTTACGACGTGTAGAGTTTACATTTACCTAATATTATAATAATTTTGAAACTAACAAAACCAAATTTTTTTGTAAATAGATTTTAAAGAGACTGTTTTAGATGTTTCTTGTTATGCAAATGTTATTTTGAAATACATACTTGTTAGAATGTTTGTTTTATATTAACTTCCTGTTATCTGTAGATACAATTTGCAATTCGTACCAGTTAATGGCGTAAAGATCATACAATCTTAATTCGACATGGGAGTCATTAATTTGATAACTGGCTTTTAGTCAGTAGCGTCAGTTGCGTAACGCGCGCACTTTAGGAAGGGGTGGTTTCGTTTATTTATTTTGTCAATGTTTTGTCATCAATATACAGGATGTCTCAGAAGTAAGTACATTAATTTTAACCAGTAACGGAACTCGTAAAACGGAACAACTTTTTGTATAGCATTTGTTCGAAAACTCAAGTCGAATTTCAAATTTTCCAACCCATATATTCACGAGCCGTCTATGTTCACCTCAAATAATAACGACACTACAACAATAAAGAAGGTATCCTAGCAACCGTGTTGACACTGACAATCTGACAATTTTTATGTCAAGTGTATGTTATTAAGCGTCGCCTCTTTAAAGTTTGTTTCGCACAGATTTTTTATTTATAAACGAAATGTGTTCAAATGGCTTTGTTTTCAAATCTTGAACACACCGATACCGTTTTAGTGTACGGTGAGGCTCAAGGAAACGGCGCCCGCGCTCAAACAATTTTTTCAGGAAGCCTCTCAAATCGTCGTCTGCCAAATGTGCGCACTTTTAAGAACGTTATACAGCATCTTCGAGAGTACGGATCTTTTAAACCTGCAGCTCAGGTTTGAGGTAGGTTATGTAGTGTTAATAGAATTGCAAAATTGTATTCTTCTGGGAAAATCTTCTTCTATAGTTGGATTCATGTATCTTTTTACACACGTGACCAAAAGCTAACGTCCGAACTAATAACTGTTACTTTGTAGTAATTAGTCAAAAAAATGACAATGTTCATAACGTCAACATGACACAAATGTGTAAGCTCAGGCAGGTCTTTTGGTTTCGGTGCTTTCCGATTGGGTCGTGATTTTGCCGGACTGGGAAGGACGCGGAGTCTTTCTTTTCGAGTTTTTAATCTTCGAAACCGTTAGGCGAGTAACGCCTAGAGCATCTGCAACTCGCTAAAAATTTGAGCGAAATTATTAACCATGAACCTTCAAGTGGTTTTTACTTACTCGTTCTGTACCATTTAATGAGATTAAAGGACCACCGTTTTCCTTCTCAAGAGCAAAATACTCTATAAAGTTGGACAAGATGTCCTGGGCAAGGGAACTCAAACGTTTGCCCGTCATGTTGTAGACCAAACACGAACAAGAAATAAGATAACAAAACATAAAAAATAGGACAACGAAACAAGAATCCTAACAATCAACGAACTTTACGAAGAACTGAATAGAAAACTTGAATAGAACAACGAAAAGCTGCGATTAACCACTCTGAGTAAAACCAAAAATGACAGTGACGTTTGATGAAAAATCGATGAATTCAGTCACTAGATTGACTACATCAGTGCCTGTCGCACTATGTGGACGTATTTATTACGTATTTTATCTTTTTCTAATTAAAGGAACTTTGTGGAAGAGAATAACTGACGTAGAGCGTAATTTGGCCTAATTTCGGTAGACATTGTGATAACCCAAACTTCCCGCCTTAAAATTTGACCTTTAAACAGTTTGAAAGGCCCGCGAAAAATTCAAAAATTCAAAGTTTGGCCTTGGCTGTGATCGTCTAACAAATGAGAACCTACGTTGTGTTTTTTTTTTTTGCTTTTGAAAAATGGCGGGAAGAAGTTCTTTCATACAAGTGCATACACTGTCGAGAGCGCAAGAAATAATTAACAGAAATTGTTTTGGAGGGGGGGGAAACGGCACCACCCTCACAGGGGGAAATACGCTGCGAAGATTTACCCCTCAGCGCAAAAACCCCCTTGGTTTTATTCCCGGACGACATTTTATTACATTTCAAACACCTTAAGATATTTGAAAGAAAAACACTCGCGAATTGACAGACATACACATACGAAAACCGAACAAACACAAGACCTACACATATGTAAATTGGATGGCAGAACCCGAATCATTATGAGAGTGTGGCGATCGAACAAACATAGAACAAAATATAACAATTTCATTTATGAGCACAGCAAAATACCCAGAGGGGGCGTTGTAGCGCAAGTAGAGGTTGGGACTCCTGATCGTCACTGTTCTCCCCCACGACGGTGATTCTATCTACACCAACGCCTGCTCACACGCATCTCTCCATTACGAACGTGCCCTGCGAAACGAGGCGGTTACGATCGCAGATCCGTAGTGGGGTCTCGACTATTGGGCCAAGTCGACAGCGTTAAAGACCCGCGATCGCCCCCTGAAGCTATACAAACCCGCGGATTTGTGCAGGTGCCGCGATTGATCCCGTCAGTTTGAGAAGGAGTCGCGCGCCCCACGTACACTACGAGTTATGTGTTATTTACTTCAATTTCATTTAAATGTTCAATCTCTATGACTCTAATATTAAATGACAACCGAACAAGTGTTAAAGTTTCAGCAAAGAGCAATAAACAACATTTAAATTCGCCACACACTCTTACGAAAATTCAACAACAAATAATTCTTACTTGAGATCAAATTTGGACATCAGATAATTTGCAGGACAAAGACATTCATCAATAAAATATTTACATGAGCAAAACTTAGCAAAGATTTAAAAAAACAAGATCTGGTGTGAAATAAGCTTGTACAAATTAAATATCATGTTAGGTCAAAACTGCAGAGCATGGAAATTTACGTTCAATTCAAATTATACAGCAAAGAAAATTACTGAAGCTAAAATTGTGAGACAAAGACAAATTGCATGAGGTGAAAGATTGTAAAGTTAACAAATTTACATGTGATTAATATTAATTCGTGTCCAGTCAAGTTATTGGTTAAAATTCAAATGTGAAATTATTTAGCTGCATTGTGGGCCATTATTACACAAACATTTCCCCAAACAAAACACATAAACAAACATGGCAGACAATCTGCAGTTGCAAAATGGCGTTGGACGAATTCGTCATTCCAAATAATAGGCGTCGAAAATATGCGATGCAAAAATACGATGAATCCTGTGGCGTTGTATAAACGATGGGCTAAATAAAAGGAATAAAAGGCACGTCCCCCCATGACCCACAATGTTGTTATTTTGTTCAATAGATTCAGTTAAAACATGTGCTCGATTAAAAGAAACAAATGGACGCTTCAAAATGGCCGCTGCCTGAACAAAGAACGGTGAAAATAACAACTCGTTTGCCGCCATCCAAAATACAGATTTCACAAATATAGCTAAATAAAGCATGGCCCGAACTAGAAATCACTTCCTGTAAAGCCCTACTACGACGGATTTTAAATGAAAGATAAAAAAAACGAGATTAGTGGAAAAACAAGCGCACGCGTCGCTGCGTCACGAGGTCAGAAGTATCGTCGGGGCTTGAAACTCGCCGCAAAACAGGTGTTCAAAACATACCTCTCCAAAGATGCGAAGATTTCGACACGGCTTACCGCCAAAAGGAACGCAAAAACCTCGTCGTAAGAACGATGCGAAATCAGGAACACCCAATGGCTCAACGGGGCTACTAGGTTTTCCAATGGAACTGGATCAACACTGGAAAAACAAAACACAACAGCAAAAGGCACAGAATAATTCACAATTAAAAATACAACCTGTTGCTCGAAGCGCTCGAAAAGAAGTCGTCTGTTCTCTCGAAGCGATCAAAAGGAAGTGCCCGATTTTACACGAGACAAAACCACCCGCTTTGCGCACGTCTGTTTCCTTGGGGTGGTTGGTTGCCAACCTCTCCTTCTTCTCACTAACCGTTTCTTGTGCGCGCGGAATTCGTTTGAAATTTAAAAATTCGAATTGGATCCTTACAACATACTATTTGTCTGGCTCTTCGTTTTTGTAATCCTTAAAACAAAGATTCTTATGGTAGGTGCTGTCTGAGCTTGTATGATACTTCGGTCACGTGTGTCAAAAGATACATGAATCCAACTATATTAGATCTTGTACTAATGTCACATGGTGATATGGTAAGGGTGGAACTGATTCGCTCTCAAAATTTTTGAAACGAATTTTTGTTTACGACTTGAATTACACGAATTTCATTTTCGACACCGGTAGCCATAAGTCCTTTATTTCTTGTTTCTTTCGGCCAATTTTGTCTTGACGTTTTTTATAAACATCTAAAGACTTGGTCGAATGGATGTCGCCTATTAAGATATCTTCTTTCGTAGAGATTTGCTGCTGCAACGGCATTTTTTCATCGTTCATGTATTTAACCCTCATCTTATCGTGAAGACTAAAAACTTACCGGAGCTCAAAATTGACAAATAGATTTATTGCTAAAGTCAAAATTAACTACTAGGTAACTATGTTTGTACATTGTAGAAAAATAAAATATAAAAAGAGTTACATAAATGAGACATGTATTTTGTGTTGCATTGAAATTTGGTCAGGATCCCGTTATTATAATACTCACCCTCTACAGGTGACTCAAAAAAATTAATGAATACGTAAATTTATTTTATCGATTTAATCAGGAACTACAAAAGCGAATGCTTTGAAATATTGAAGATGTTTTAAAGTTATCATAGGCATGGTAAATTTTTGATCAAAATGTATTTGCTCATCCCTCTAAAAAATTGATGATACTACCCCAAAATTTTGCTGAAAAAATGGTGTCTTAAATGTGCAAAGTATGATGAGTCTATACTTGTGATTTATCACTGCATTAATATTTTTTTGATTTGCTTATATGGGGTGTCTGAAAATAATTAATGACTGAGTCAATTTATTTTATTAATCAAATCAAGAATTGCAAAACTGGATACTTTGAAATCTTGACGGTTTGAAGTTTTTGTAAGCATGGTAACTTTTTAATCAAAATGTATCATCTGTTTATCAACCCCAAAAAATTGATTACGCCATCCCAAAATTTTGCCGAATAAATTCTTTCGCAAATATGCAAAATATGATCAGACTATATTTGTAACTAATC